CCTCCCAAGTAGCTGGGACCACAGGCGCCCGCCACAACGCCCGGCTATTTTTTGATTGCAGCCATCATTGTTGTTTTGGCGGGCCCAGGCTGGATTTGAACCCGCCACCTTAGGTGTATGTGGCTGACGCCTTAGCTGCTTGAGCCACAGGCGCCAAGCTGGGAATTATTAATTTTATGAACAAGGTGGTGTGGTGCTGAACATCTTTATACACTAAATTGGATACCCCTCACCACCGGAGAATAGCGTAGTGCTATGTAGCGAGACAGTAACTGTGAGGTGTAGCTAGTGAGTACAAAGATATTTGAGAAGGGAAAGATTAGTTTTGTCGCCAACACAGGCGTCTTTCTGGAGGCAGCAACTTTTGAGCTGGGCCTTGAAGGAAGGATAGGAGATGAAGAACTAGGGAGCAAATGCGTTTTATACTAAGGATGAAAACAACTGGCCTTCACAGAGCGCCAGGCACCGTCAGCACGTTATATGCATTGTTTCATATAATCCTCCCAACAACCTGTGGAAGTGTAATTCTGCCCATTTTATAGATAAGGAGACTTAAATTCAGATTAAGTAACTTTTCCAAGGTGGGGACTCCTAGCATAGGCTGAGGAATAATTTTTGACATGAAGATTAGAATAGTATTAAAGAAAGAAAGTTGATGGAAGTATTTCGGATTGCATGTGAAAACTTCACACTGTACCCCAGAAGTGCATTAATGTACATAGTTACCATTAAATTAAAAAAAAAAAAAAGAAAGAAAGTTTATTTTACTTCCCTAGGGTGGGGAGGGCATGGCTTGGGAGAGAGAAAGAGAGAACTACAGGGCGGCACCTGTGGCTCAAGGAGGAGGGTGCTGGCCCCATGTACTAGATAGAGGTAATGGGTTCAAACCCGGCCCTGGCCAAAAAAAGAGAGAGAACTATAGTTTTTGAGAATGTTACCAGGCTTCGCTATTACAGCAGATGGAGTTAAGAAACATAGTCCTTATAAACTTAAACAGGTTTTACTATTTCTGGATTAAACATCAACAAACAAGGTTACTGTGGATTATGCTAAATTACATCCAGAGCCATCAGGGATCCGTGTAGGGTCTCCTCATCTCCCTTTACTAGCTCAGCTCAGACATCCAAATTATTACCCCTTTCTTGGAGGTTTTGGTACCCGACCAGTTCTAAACCCAGAACAATCCCTCTTGTGACATGATCACTTACCCAGACTTTAGAAAGGCATCCTTGGTTACAGACTCCTCTGCTCAAACTGAAGTAGAAAATATGCCCTCAGCTCCATCCTGCTGCCAGGATAGGATGTTAAGGTTGGTGAGAAGATTACAGGCAGCCAGGCTCTGAGATGTGGGCTTGCACGTCAGTAACCTCACCTCTCTCAGAACCACAATTATCTTTTCACTGATTGTGGCAGTGACAGTGCAGTCTTCGGCAGCTGAGAACATTTCTGAAAAACTTTCTTCTCCCAGTTGCTAATCGCCAAAACTAATTATAAGTTTCTAGCTAGCATCTCTTCAGAGACTACTGAGAGCTTTTGGGAGAGGCTCCTTTCTTTCTCCCTCGCTCTCTTTTTTTTTTTTTTTTTTTTTTTTTTGCTATTTCCCTGGAGACAGGGAAGGAGGGAACAGGAAATGCTGAGGTCAGGGAGGCAAGGCCCTGGGGGTAAGGTGTATGTGTCCCTTTGAAAGCTCTTATTTGCTGGGAAGTTCTACCCAAAGCAAATTCTTTCTTCATCTTTGTACTGCTGACACACAAAATCATTCAATTATGTGCGGATAAAGGGAACCAGAGAAAGATTACCAGGGAAGGATTTTCAAGGAGAAACAAGTGAAAGGAAATCGGGATGCAAAACAATCAATGGCAATTAATTTGGAGTCTAGATTATGTGGATCAGAAGGCTGAGGAATGAGGAGACCATTCCTTTATTCATTGAGGGAAACAAATAGTATTTGCTGAATTCAAGAGTGATGGATGGTACAACAGTCCCCTCTATACTTATTGTTTTGCTAAATTTTCAGAATTGAGCACTGGCTGCTGTGGTAATAAATTAAGAAACATATGCTGGGCAAGGCAGCACATGCCTGTAATCCCAGCACTCTGGGAGGCCAAGGAGGGAGGATCCCTTGAGCTCAGGAGTTCCAGAACAGCCTGAGCAAGAGGCAGACCCCAGTCTCTACTAAAAATACAAAAAACTAGCCAGGGGTGGTGGTTCGTGCCTATAGTCTCAGCTACTAGTGAGGCTGAGGCAGGAGGATACCTTGAGCCGAAGAGTTTAAAGCTTTGGCATTTCCCACAGACAAATGTATATTTCCTTCACATCTGCTCTCCAGTGCTTCTGAATCTGCAAGTTGAGGGCTAGAGCCATATGGTAAACAACCCAAGTGTATACACACGCACACACTCTTAAACACCCACAGTATGGATTTATACACACACATACACACTGAGGCAAACATGTTCCAAAAATCTAATCAAAGGCACAGACACATACACTGAACAGTCACACTCACACATACCCCCTCACATCACACACCTGCACTCACACACCTGTCGC